CAGCCTACTACAGAGGAGCCATGGTGAGCACAGGACGCCCGCAGAACAAGCAGACTGGATAATCAGGCTGACATCACTGTCCCTTTGTGCTCGCTCTGTACCTTTCACTGACTCCTTAAATCCTCTCTCTTTGTCTCTCTCCTCGCTCTGCGCCAGGGCATCATCCTGGTGTACGACATCACAGACGAGAAGTCCTTCGAAAACATTCAGAACTGGATGAAGAGCATCAAAGAAGTGAGACTGTTTTCCTCTCAGCCGCTCACGGCTAATACAACCAGGAAAGACTTAAAAATAGTGTTTAGTCAGTTAGATATGTGTTAGTCATGAGAAAGGGCCTGAACTCAACTGCAACAACAAAGCAAGCACATTGCACAACTGTTTTAAACCGACAGATCCCCTCTTACCCCGAGTTTCACTGGAACTTCTTTATAAGGAACAAATGAAGGCTGCAGCTGTAGGCAGGTTATATTCAAAACTAATTGATTAATTAATAGAATGTCAGAAAATCCTGAAAAAACCCTAGAGCCCAAGGTGATGTCATTGGATTTAATTGATTAGCAGTCCAATCCTCAAATATAATGAGTTCACAATTGTTAAAGGGGCAGAAAATACTCTCAAATGATCAATTGATTATCAGAGTAGTTGCAGATAAACCAATCAACTAATGAATCAATCAACTAATCGTCTTTAGTGCTAGAAGAAATGGCCTCAATGTAATCTGTCCACAGTAGAAGAATAGAAGAGGAACCAAATAATCCCTCACACTGTTGGACAGTTGCACTCTCTTTATTTTATGTTTTAAAAGCACTTTTAGGTATTTTTTGTCTTTAATTGATGGTGAGCAGTTGAGCTGTGAAATAAAACAAGGATAGAAAGAGAAAAGGAGGAATGACCCTGAATTGAACCAGGGATGTTGTGGTCTTAACCACTATTCTACCAGGATGCCCATTGTCACACATTGTCACTGGTAAAATAAATTTATCCTGATCAAGGTTTAAGAACTGAAAAATCATTAATAGAGTGAGTACAAATGACCATCAGCGTGTGTGATCATTTGGTACCTTCTCTTTAAACAGCTCTTAATTGTACGCAATTGTCAATAAGACTAAATGGTGTGCAAACAACTTACTATACTACAAGGTGAACTAATGTTTTACCTGGCTAACAGGTATTATATTAAACATTTATCTCGACCCAATGTCAGAATCCACTTGCCCTATTTCTATTTAAGGAATTACTTTATCTAATGTGGAGGATATCGTGGTCTTACATACAGAGAGAGTTTTCCCGCAGAGCAGCTGCTGTACAGAAACTGCCTCTCAAGTGCAGCTCTTTCTTGTTGTTCAGTTCATGTGACAAAAAGATGTCTGCTTCCACCAAGCAAACATTCTTGTAGACAAGAACTGAACCTTGCCTAATGAATTAACTACATTCCCTCTTTCCCAGAATGCATCAGCTGGGGTCAGTCGAATGCTACTAGGTAATAAGTGCGACATTGAAGCAAAGCGGAAAGTTTCCAGGGAGACAGGAGAAAAGGTGAGACGACCCACACAGAAACCTAATTATTCCCTATGTGTTGTATTATTTTTTATATGTGTAATTATGTAGCAACAGTCGTCTCATTCAGAGAGTAGTCGATACATAGATGTTAGATTTGCTGTCCCATCATGCACTAATAGTCAGATGTTTCATTATGAAGAAGAGACAATAGAAATAAATACTTATCCTACTTTTTAAATATAAGAGGGAGTGGTTGGTTAAGATAGGCACTGAGTGAGTCACAGACATTTTTGATGTATCCGCTTTGTATCTACTTAAGATAAGAAGCAGGAAGTGATTATTACCCACATCCTGACCCACTGTAATCGGGTCTGTGTCTGTTGTTGACAGCTGGCGAAAGATCACGGCATCAGGTTCTTCGAGACGAGTGCAAAGTCCAGCATTAATGTGGAGGAGGTGAGCCGGAACGTAACCGCTGACTGAACAAAACACTGTCTTCATACCTCATTAATCTTTGGCTCTTGTTTATTTAGTTATGTGTCAATATGCTACATAGGCCTTCATTTTCATTCTCTCTCACTATTTTTTTTTAATCTTTCTGTTTCCTTTAGTCTTTTCTGTCTTTGGCACGAGACATACTACAGAAATCCAGCAAGAAGGCAGTAAGTCAGAACAGACTAAACCAAATAATACCAAACTAAACTAAACATAAGATTATATGTTAAACTAGTCTTTAATTTCCTTTCTTTGTCTGCCTGTCTTTGTTTAACAGGGCCCCACAGGTCGAGAGGTGAAAATCACGAGCAGTACAGAGAAAAAATCCTCCAAATGTGTTCTTCTCTAGATGGGACGCTGGCCAGCACACAGAGTAAAGGAGCATACACATTTAAGAACACATCAGTATTACTGGGGAAAAATACAGCACAGCAGGTTTTCTGTCTCCATCTGGTGGGCTAAAATGTCAAATACATACTTTTTAAAACCTAAATTACCAGTATACTGGTACCTCCCCCCCCCCAAAAGCATTCTTTGCCAGAAAAATAATTTATGTATTTTATTGAGGTGATTGTGCCTTAATTTCATACTGAATTTAATCTGCCACACTTCCTGTGATGGTGTTATGAAAATGTTGCAAAGTGCTGGTGACTCTAAACAGCAGTTCCCACCTTGTGTTATAAGATATACATGTGTATTTCCGCCCTGTATTTTTCTGGATTATCACTACATTATCATCCCTACAACAGCAGTGCTTAATGTCCTGAAAGAACTTTGCCTTGGTTTTTTAAATCATGTTTTGGACTGGGTAAAACACTTACACAGTTCAGTGGAACCATTTCATTCATTTCTTATGTGTGAGCGCCGGTAGTAGTGTCTTTTTAGGAGCTCTGTGTTAGAGGAGGCGTTTGATGGGAAGTGGTTTGATTCACATACAGTACACACACAGTAGGCTTCTGGTTCTAGTATTTGACTCAGATGTTTGTTATTTCCTGTTCATCTTGAATTCAAGGGGCCACAGGCATCTCATAGACTCTTTTAGATAGTTTAAATACTGGACAGAGTTAGTAAATTGATTACTGAGTAAGTCTGAAAACATGTTTGGTTACCAATTCACTTTAACTTTGGTCAGTTTACTGTTTTATAATAATCAATGGAACGGACAAGTTGAAATCCCATTCTTGCAGTGCCATATCAGAGACATTTTATTTTCCCCTATTTTAGTGGCATACATTGCAGAGATGTCACAAACTGAACATTACGCTTTTTATTGGTTAAATTTACGTTAATGTTGTGCTTATCCTTTGTGAATTGATGTAAAGTCTTAATAGTGTACATTATTGTAAAGCATTCAACAGAATCTACAAAAACAGATGCCATTGAGTCTTTAACATGGACATTTTGTAAGTACATCCTATGAGAAGTTGAAAACATGCTCATGCAAGTTGTTGATGTTGGTTGTATGAAGTTGAATTTGAAACAAACACGGGTGATAAACAAGCTTTACTTTAACAGATGAATAGATTGAGAATGTGAAAGATAGGAACAGCGATAAGTGCAATATGAGAAGATGGGTGGAGAGCTGAAACAATGATGGATAATGTAAGTGAATGGACAGGATGTGAGGGAAGCAGTGCTCACATGCCCCTCATTTTGAATTGATTTAGTGGGTCTTGCCTTTTATCTGAAGTGCCTAATGAATTTCTTAGTAAACACTATCACACATTAGCTACATGTGACATGTCTCCCTCTTCGGGCAATTTCAGATCACTCAAAATGACTCTGATTATAGGTGCTCATCTCATCCTGTATCAACTTTTTAAGCTTTTTTATTCACATTTTGTGTCTTTTTAGACCTGCCACAAGACTTTGTATGTAGTTAACAGACCTTCTGCTTGCTGAATAAAACATGAGTGTGATGTAGTTTGAATCTCTATGTTGGCCCAATAACATAACCAAGAGTATGTAGCTTGGATTGTGTGGACTATGTGTTGCTCGGTCAAGCATTTTGTAAATGTTTTATTGTGAAAAGTCAAGTCAGTTTTTATTTTTATAGTCCAAAAAAATCACAAATGTACCTCAAGGGGCTTTAGAGTCTGCACAACATATGACACCCCTCTATCCTTAGATGATTCATTTGGGAAAAACATCCCAAAGAAAAACCTTTAACAGGAAAGAAAAAGAAGAAACCTCATGATGAGCGGGAAATAAATAGTATAATTACAATATGGGAAAATATGAATATATACATTAGGTGCTAGATTGCAAACGTGAAGAAAATGGAACCAGAAAGATGTAAATACTGTTTTGTGTTTCAGCCTTCAACTTTTCCATCATTGCTCTGATCTGTTTTAGAAATGTACTGTAATTTGTTCAGGTTAGTTGTTTTTAACAAAATTACTTTAAAGACTGAAGTAAAGAACAAGTACTTACAGTTACTTCCAGAGCAGAAGGTGGCTTTGTGTCTGAAGAACACTGACAGGAAATATGTTATTGACAGGCACAATGCTGGTTAATACATAGGACTAAATTAGACCAAGCACCTATGGGACACTCTCGCCTTCTTTTTTTAACTACTATCCTCTTAGCGACCAGTACGGTGATAGTCCCCCCCCCCCCCCCCCCCCCCCGCTGCTGCAGTGCCGCCGGAGCCTGTCGCTAGCAACCGCCCCTTCCTTCCCCAGCAATCAGCACCACGACGGTGTACCCGCTCGCCGCAATCTTCAAGTTGCCTGCACGTTTGCTTCGGCCTTGTCATCACCAGGCAGTTTCGGTTTGCAAACACGATACAATTGCCTCCCCAGTGCCAGAGCTGACCGAGGAGCAAGAAAAAGGACGCAAGGCAGAGAGGGAGGCAAAATATTAAAAGAAGAATCCCAAATAAACTTGATGATTTAAGCATTAATCCCGGACATAGTAGGCTACGGCTATTTTATGTTCATGTACGCCTGGGAGGCAGTTAGGTAAACGTCCGGGATACCATACACAACAACACACGGCTGAACGGATCCCGTAACGCAGGAGGAAAAGGCGCGGAGGTAGGGGGGAGGAGAGGAGAGAGGGGCTGTAGTGCGTGTGTGACCACCCAAAACCCGCGAGGGGAGTTTCAAAACGAAACCTACGAGGAAAGATTCTTCCGACTGGCCGCTATTTGTGGTGCAATTGAAAAATCGATGAGGATATTTATTTCCTGTCATGTCGAGTAATTAGTCCGCTCCCGAACGAACCGATTGTATCTTGGCGCTTTGGCTCCACACTCTTTTTTTTTTTTTTTTTTTTTCGTGACAAGATGAGGACCTAACATAAGGTTGCGGGGAGGGGAGCGCACATGTTCGGATGTCGCTCCTCCTGACTGGACACACGGACTGACCGGCTCATGTCATCTCTGCTGGGGGGGTGAAGCGAGGAGGGATCAGCTGCTTTCTTTGGGATGCTTTAATGTTTGCGGCCTGCTCTGGTCTCCAGTTACCGCAATGCCACTGGCGAGAGGAGGGAGAGGTGGAAGGCAGAAGATGGAGAGGGGGGAGCAGCAAAAAGCAAATGAGTAAAACAATGGTGTGTAGATTTTCATTTGTGTGATTTAATCAGAGAATGACGGAGCAGGAGGTTAAGGGTATAGACTACTCTATAGGCTGTAGTGGCCTGTGAACTGCATGGGGTGAAAGAAACACTGTATTGACTGAAGCGGTTAGTATCATGGCTGAAACGTCAAATGAGGTGAGTAGGTGGCTGTGAGTGTGTGGTGGCTGCTCAATTCTCAACTTTCTGCTGACAAAGTTCTTGGACTCACTCACTGGACTATAGTGCGCACCATGGGGCATTGCGCAGAACCTATGGCACCTGCCAGTGGAGAGCTTGGTGCATAATTGTGACTGAGTGGAGCTCTGAAGCCAGCATTTATGTCTCTGCCTCTTCTGCTCTTCTGTACGTCTATCCACACAACTGCACGTTTTATGAACCCAGAGTAAGCGTGAGACCTCTCCAGCCTCCTCCACACACAGACGAGCCTAACATGCCTTCGCCGTCAGACTCCAGCAGCGTGGCTTCGGCCTCCGGGTCTCGAGGCTGGTCGGACAGCCGCAGGGGTATGTCAGGCCGGGGGCCTGGTGGGGCACGGCTACTCCTGTACCTAGGGCTGTGCCACCTGGGCCTGGGGGGCATGGTCCTGGCCTTCTCTTTCACCAGCATGGCCTTCACCTCCTCAGCACGTGTGAGGCAGTCCTGTCCATTCTGGGCTGGCTTCTTTGTAAGTGTGAATCAGACTTAAAACATACAGTATTAATACCCCAACAGAGATTCTAAGGGGCATGATTTATGATGTATGTGGGGTCTGTTTGCAGGTGGTGGCATCAGGGATAGTTGGAATAATCTCATGGAGGAGACCTCTGACACTGGTGGTATGTATATTTCTGTCTGATAAACGAGCATTCAAGTCTCTTAGCTATGGGTTAAAAACCATGTGCCATGGAGCAATGCTGGATTACCAACAGGCTTAAGAGGGGTCCAAGACCCACAGGGGACCAGAAAACCCATAGTTCACTGTGTGTCAACCAGGTTATTGTCATTTGTTTGATTGTAAATTAGCACCACTAAAGCATGATATAAAGACATGTGAAGAAAACAGTAATAACACAAGGTCCCTTTAGTAGCTGTTTTGGGATTTTGGATGATATCACAACACCTAGTTGTCACAAAATTGAAGATGTTCAAATTTCCATTTGTTCGGAGCACTTTAAGGATTTCTCATCAAAGAGCCTTACAGTGTGTCCTGTATGTTTACCTGATCTTCAGACCCTTTGTTAAGGGTGCTTGTGTTAAAGTGTAGTTGTACTACACAATACTATTTTATACAGTGCTTACAGTGTGTGTATTCATGTATTAATTCAGTAAAAGTACTACAAAATAAGTAACCAACACAAATTTGGGAGTGGTTGATCTGGGCATGACTTGGAGGGAAAAAGTGTGCAGGTTTATAGTTCATCCAAAAACCAAAATGTTACTTACAAAACAATACTTATTAGTTCTTCAGCCAGAGAGGCTGCATGTTTGTCAGTGAAACTACCTGCCAAAGTCTTCTGTTGGAAGAATAAAACTAATGCACTGTATTGGCCCTTCATGGCACAAGTTTTGACACCCTTCTCTAAATCAAAGCATGGCTCTGTGCTCCTCCACAGGTGTCACTGTTCATGCTGCTGTCTGCAGTGTGTGTGATCCTCAGTCTGGCCGGCTCCATGCTCTCCTGTCAGAACGCACAGATGGTCAAGTCTATGCTCACCTGCCAGGTACACAACATTATGCAAGTGTTCTGCGTCGTGCTGAAATGCCCTTCTAGTTAGATGCATGTAGAACGTGACTGGAATAAGTGAGAATATGTTTTTAGTGTACGGTTCAGTGCTTCACACCGATCCTCTGTGTATGGGAATGTGTGTAGGTGGAGAATGGTCTGTGTGTGTGCTGCGCGCCCACTCACTCCTGCTCCATCACAGAGGAGGAGACCTTGGTCCTTTACCTGAATGCTGACTGTCACTCAGTCAGACATCAACTGAAGGTGAGTAGGATGTGTATCTACTCCGGAGACCTAAATTATAATTTTATTGAATTAACTATTAAAGGACAATCTTTCAAGTCTGTCTTAAAACAATAGGTGCCCATATGAACAATTAAAATGGTTTGGTTGCTGTAATAATTCCTCCTGTTTACACTGGTCATAAAATATTAAGATTAACTAAATTAATTTCAATATATCACATGGATATATGAATACACTGAAATGTATTCATGTAATGCTAATATGAGGCGTCAGCAGTCTGAGTTAGACAAATCAAGCGGGTATCTTCCAAAGTTACAGTGTTTTAGCATTGTTTTAAGACAGACTTGAAAAAGTGTGAACTTATCCTATAAATGTGACATATTTCTAGCAATAAAACGTCTTCATGTAGTCAGATTTAGATTTCTGAATGCGCATTTCTCTGCAGGACCTTTTGTTCAGTGCATGTGGTCTCAGCATTCTCTCCACCATCATCTGTACTCTGTCCACTGTGACCTGCAGTATCCACATATTCTCTCTGGACCTTGTGCACCTGGTGAGTGCAGACACAGCACATTTTACACCAGACTGGCCTTTTTTTTCCGCCACAAATGACAAGTATCCAGCAGTAAACTACACTGCTGAATTCAGGGATTAGGGTTTACATTTGAAAGCAGACTTTGTACAAATGTTGTAGCCCATTACATCTATCTGTTGTGTGTGTTTCCCATTCTCCCTGCCTAGCTGGCCCCACATCGGTCTCGTTCGGTCAACCCAGAATGCACCACTCCTCAGGACGCCTTCCTGACAAACATCATGGATTTTGAGGAGTTTGTCCCACCCATCCCTCCCCCTCCTTACTATCCTCCTGAGTACACCTGCAGCTCTGAAACTGATGCTCAGAGGTGACTTAAAATAAAATTTTATACATTAACATCGCTTGTGTACAGTACATAACGGCACATGGACACCTATAGACACATTGGACAGAGTGTGCAAGAAAATGATATGTTTAATATTTTGTATTAATGTCTAGCATCACCTATAATGGCTCCATGGAGAGCCCTGTTCCTCTCTACCCCACTGACTGCCCCCCTCCTTATGAAGCAGTGATGGGACAAAGAGCTGTGAGCCAGGTGAATATGTGTGTGTGTGTGTTTGTATCTGTGTGGGTGTTATGTGAGATTTTCCATACTAATTCCTGTCTATTTTGACTGTTAAGGCAACAGTGTATGACCCCCATGGCACTGAGCTGTCTGGAGAGAGAGGAACTTCTACTGCCTTCAGCGGAGAAGGTGAGAAACCATCACGATGTTACAGATTCACATGTACTTGTTGGAAGGAGGCATTGAATGATTAAGCAGAATGTGACAATCTTTAACAAGCAACACTTCCAAACATTCACTGGTTCTCAAATGTGAGGATTTGCTGCTTTTTTTCCAGCAATTTTGTAGACTAAACAAGTGAAACAAATTTACAAAATATTATCAATAATGGTAAATGGACTCTACTTGTATAGAGCTTTTCTAGTCTTCCGACCACTCAAAGCACTTTACACTACAGGCCACATTCACACACAGAAACCAACTCATTTATACACTGATGCACAACATCAGGAGCAATCTGGGGTTCATTATCTTGCTCAAAGACACTTCGACATGCAGCAGGAGGAGCCAGGGATCGAACCACCAACCTTCGGATTAGTATAGATTATAATGTAGATAATATGTTTGTCAATAATATATTTATCAATAATAAATGTAATTCCATTCCTGATTTAACATGTGACTCCCAAATGTTGCTGTCAAATTCACAACGTCAGCCAAGGAAAATTGGGGATCTTGATATGCTTTTGGGTATTATAGGTTTTATAGATAGATAATATAGATAATATAGGTTTTAAGTAGTTAACTATAACTGCATAAATTTAATATATTTTTTTTTCAAAATGTGATATTGAAAACCATGAAACATGGTGTAGCAAAGATTTTTCATGATATTACCTACAGTGTTTAAAGAAGGTACACAAAATGAAGTGAAATGGATGTGTATAATGTATCTTTCAAACTGTGCTATAAGTTGAACTAAAAGTTTAATTTGTCAATTTATTAGTGTCCATGGACAGCGGATCTCTGTTGATGTCAGAGATTGTGGACATCCCTGATGATTCCTCCCCATCTGAGGACTCCTGTCTGATGGAAGTTGGGCTAAGGAACCAGGGGGAGAGGGGCAACAGGACCATTGGTGAGGGGGGAGACGGGGGAGACAGTGGGGAGTACATCAGCTTCCGTGGTCCCCCGTCTCAGACACCAGAGAGTCCACTGGCAGGAGGACCAAGAGCCAGGCGCTTCATCAGAGGAGAGAGGTCCAACTCCTGCTCTTCACCCAGCACAGCGACCACCACGTACAGGTGAGGACACACACACACACACACACACACACACACAATAAAATATTTTATAGACTCATGGCGTTACTATTATTACTCATGCAGATATAAGTTTTCCTGTTTTGTCCTGCAGGTCTCCAGTGTTGCGTCGCCAGGCCATGCTAGCTAGTAGCTGTTCTCAGCTGGAAGCAATAGGGGGTTCTGACTCTCAACAGCGATCCTCTGTCCCAGAGTTTCGAGTTCACCCCTCCACTCCCTCGAGCCAAAGAGCTGCCCCAACCTCCTCTGCTCCTCCCACTTCATCCTCCTCACCTGCCAGTCAGCAGGGTGGTGGTCAGGGTAACGGGCCACCCCTCCCGGGCCAACCATTGTACCTGCGACGAAGGGCTGGGAAAAGTGAGAAAGATGGGGATGGTATAAGGAAGGACAGTGAAGGGCTCCTACGTCTCGTGAGGTCTCATAGCGAGCCAGGCCTCGGCTCCTCGACTGATACAGGTAAATCACACACAATAATGAGTACATTTATTTAATTACTGTTTCTATGTCCATAACCTGTTCTTGTATCTTGTCTTTTCTAGTTGACTTTGGCTCTGGAGGCAGCAAAGCATCTACAGACACAGGTAATAGTTTATATCTAAAGGGCTTTTTTTGCATGTCACCACTACCTATCGCTTCCTTCCTGTCTCTTTTCACATCTGACTGCCAATTAAAAGCAAGAAAAACCAAAGGAAAACAAGTTTAATTTGAGGAGATACAATTCAACCCATAATGGAGATCATTTATCAAACCCTCTTAGAAACTAATGTAGATTTAAAGACCAGAGGAGACCATATGCATGTGATTTATGAAACTCTTCCACAACATCTAAATTCACAATGATTTGATTACAGAGTGATAAATTTAGATTCTGCTGTGGAAACAATAATGTGCCTCACCAGTTCCCCATTTACATATTATCTTCAAAAGATACATCCTGAATTATGGATGTTGGATATGTCATGGAACATAGAAAAATATCCACAGTGGTTACTGAGCTTTACTTAAGCGACTGCCCAATATGAACCTGCATCAGTGAGAGTTTAATTAACCTAGTTTTGTTATACTTTTTTATAATAGATTTATAGAATCGACTATTACATTTTAAAACAAAATTGTATGCTCTTATTCTTTCTTGTTGAAAAAGGACAATCTGGCTTATTATGTAATTCCAGTAGTGTTCCATACTCTCTCAAGGCTACATGCAAATTTATTTTACAGCTCTTAAGGAGATGGAATTAATAAATACAGATCAAGATCAGTTAGAGCACTTCGGGCCCTCTTGGCTTATTTTCTGCTGTCGGATCATTGAGACTTAGTGCATTGCTGTTTTGTATGGTGCTGTCAACTTAATCTCAGGAAGGTAGTAATTCTGCTGTTAAATTTCATTTAATTAGTTAAATATTTTTTCCTTTCTGAGCTGGTATTATGGTTCCTTTTTCCCCCTTTTTTGTTTTTGCGTAGTATTATGTTTATATTTCTAGTCAGGGCTGGTTGGTTTGTTATTTTGGCCTTGGCTCTCCCTGACTTTCAATTTAGACGTCTGTATCAGGCAATAAAGGAATTATAAAATGTGCAAAACTGACTTCTGATATCCCTCATCTACTTTTATGTTACTCCCCTCTCCCCCTAGACCAGTTTTAGAACAGTATTATAACTTGATAAATGCCAAAATCCTTTTCTTTTTTCTGACTCCATCTCTCAAAGGTCCATCCTCTGAGGCGTGTCTGTTGCCCCGCACCTCTTTGCCTCCCGCTGCTGCTCTGCCAAGGAAAGGAAGCATGAAATCAGCAGTCACGGGGGTGCAGGTTCCCTCCAAACCTCCCCCAACCTCACCCCTGCGTTTACCTAAAGACTGCCACCGTTCCCTTGGAGACCTTAAGGTTAGTCTGAAAACTGATAGAAGATACAGAGGCTGCAAACACTTCCTGTATAAGTCTTAGCCAAAGCCTGTTGACTTTCTTATTTCATTCACTGATCTTTTTACTTTTCCTTCAGGTGACTCGGGGTCTGGTAGCTCGCTTCCTGCAGCGCTCCAAACGCAACCTATCGTCCTCCTCCGAGCATGCTGGGAGCACAGGCCAGGGGCCTAAGAGGAGGAGTGGAGCTGAGGGCGCTGCCACCAACCACCTGCCCTTGGAACAAGTATGACAAGTTCTGATTAATTTATTTCCCCTTATCTCCAGTTCACTACATCAGAATAGTTCAGTTCTTCTGCGACTTATACCGTCGGCTCTTTGTCTTGTACATTTCTGCTTGATAAAATCATCCTCAGGTGTTGCTAACCCCTTGGAACACCAGCAGAGGACACCCCAACCATCACCCCCATCACCCTCATCGCCGTGGACACCACCATTCCCATAGTGACAGTCGACACAACCGGCACCACGGCAGTCGGGTGCCAGAGGGGATCCACCTGCGCAGCTGTGGAGATTTAAGCTCCTCCTCTGCGTCACTACGCCGATTAGTGACCCCTCATCCACCGCATGGGTCATCCGGAGCTCTCTACTCAGAGTCTGCACTGTGAGGAGGAGAGGAGGGTGAAGGAGGGACGGAAGAGGAAAAATAGGAGGCTTAGGCGATAACAGGGTTCAAAGGAAGACAGGGATGTGAATCTGGAGCAGTTTAGTGGTGATTACATTTTGAAAGTCTTTCCTCCTTTTCCTCTTTGTCTCCTCCGTTTCCTGAAGCCAACTGTGCAAATGGCCTTATTCAGTGGTGCTCTTTATCACTCTGAACATCAGCCCAGAGCTCACACTATTTCACTGTTCAACATCAGTGAAACAGTCACTAGATGCTTATTTCTGGGCAGTGTGGTCTTTGTTCTAACAGAATAAATCCACAATTGGCCAAGACAACCAGCCAGAAGCATCTTCTGCTGCTGTACTCTTCTCTCCCACTCTCAATATTCATCTGGAAACACGTGTTCCCTCAAGACTGGAGACAGACTTCAACTAGCATTCATGCTACAACAACCACTTACTCACATGTACATTCAGACTATTACATAATTATGGGTTGCAATATGCTTCTGGCCCTTTTGTACATTGCTGTTCATCCACGGGATCGCTCAGGTGAAGTGATCATGAAAATCCTTATTTTGTCTTCCATTGATTAAAAAAAATGCATCTCAATAAACATGTAGTTAGCTGAGTACAGTGTAAGATAAACAGATGAGGTTGCACATGAGGACAAATTTTCTCTCACATGGAAAACACTTTACCCAGTTGCTTTTTTTGTCTCTTTCTTTTTGCAGTTCAGATTCCCACATTCTCCACGCTTTTCCACCTCCACACTGGCCTTTTAAAAAAAGGCAGCCAGCATTTTAACACTGATATTAATGCACGCCACAGACACATGCTCAGTCTTTGAAATGTATTCTCTGTGGGTGGCCCCTGGACACGGTGGTTTGATTTGCATATCTGCATGTTTTTGCTCCAGCCTTCAAAATACAGCAGGAACCTTGTGCATTCAATCCTGACCGTCTGTGTAACTATGTAACATGTCCTCAGAATGTCTTTATCTGCATGTTTTGACAATGCTTCTTACTTTTGTTCCTCTTGCACCCAAGACCTATGATAGTAGCCAATTTGAAATGTGTTTGTGTGAATAGATAGCTGGAGGTGAAAGCCAGAGTCAATGATATGCTGTGCTCCCAAGGTTTTCTGCTCCAAACCTGCCTCTGCATTCTGATTTGATTTTGATAGGGTTTGAAAATGTTTCAAGCACACAGGCATATCTGTGACACTGGCTAAAGCAGTCCGATCTTGTAAGATAGAGAGGTGTAAATTGCACTCTGGCTCTGACAACATGAAGAGTCTCTTGCAATAAATGTACAGACAAATTTGTTACAAAGTTAAGCTTCACACTATGTGTTGGCACAGGTTTTCTTGTGGAGGGGTGGTTAAATGGAAAAAAAAAAGGCTGCTGAGAGTCCAGTGGACATATAATGGGCCTGGCAGCTCTGGATACTAGATTTCGAAGTGTATTAATATTTGTGTCAGATTGGAGATTTTGTTTCTTTGGAAAGTTTTTTGTTGTGCTCTCTAAGTGATAATATTGACTCCATATCAGTAAAGGCACATTTTGGATACACTCATATGTATGTAACTAATTTTAAAAATTTACACGTGTACACACTCCCTTATTAAGGCACTGAGCTGTATTTCTACCTCCTGTCTTGCATAAAACATTATTTATTTGAAAGAAATGTATATCTGTATGGCAGGCTTAACAGGATAGAGCCTTGAAACCTGAATAATAAATGTATCTAAATATGACACCTATTCCAGAGTTTAAATGCAGTGTCAATGGCAAAAACTTTCAATGCAAGTTATGTATTTCAAAAATATGAAATAAATGATAGACATCAAAATAAAAATACCTATGTTGATGTTTTGTACATATAATGAAGGACACAATCCCAGAGAACAGAAGACACCGTAAGGTAAATATTCTTTCTTTTTTATCTGTTTTGTCTATTTTTCTCTCTATCAGTGAAACTACAATTAAAATAGTTGATGTTTATCCCCCTTTCTTCACAAATCGCCCCACTCCACTTAAGCCCCGCCCGTCCTCAAATCCTATTGGTCAGCCAGGGTGAAAGCCCATCCTGGTTCGATGCTGCCGGCCAATCAAAACGTTCAATGTCAAATGGAGCCTTCGAACGCCACGCCCACACGCGCCACTCACAAAGGACGTCGGGAAATTTAGTTTCCCCGGTATATAATAAAACGGACAGTAGCGGGACAGTGAACTACAATCTTCATATCCTGGTTACAGGAGACGTTCACAGACTTCAGTTTGCAGACGATACGCAGAAACAGAAGATAAACCATTTCGCGGTATTACAGTGAACAGTTTGGGATAAGAGGGCAGTGTCATTATGGTATGTAAAGAAATGTGAAATATGTTTATTTAATATGCTATAGCTTGCCTTGTACACAGACTGGAAGCAGGGAAATAATGTAAGCTACCGTCAGCCAACGCTTCTTTTCACGACAAGGGCAGCTAGCTAATAATAGTGGTTCTCCTTAGCTACCTAATCCTTGCTCTTGTTTACGGAGCTCAGTGGGCTTTGAGACCATAAGTTAGCAGCGGTATGTGTTTAACTCGTTACGGCACAGTCTTGCAGGTTTGACCGCAGCTTGTTTTAAGTTGGAGACATTTGGACGGTTGGTTGGGGGAATGAGACGTCTGCTGAGATGGGTCATTAATGCCCCTACAACAATCCGGACCATGTGGCTGGCCGTGTCCCGGCTGAGGTTAAAACACACATCTCTTATGCTGTGCACCTCGTCTTTCCAGGGAGACAGCATTTGCAATGGGACGCACAACAAGAAGGCCTTGCTGTCGGATCCTCAGCTGTTTGAAACCCAGTTTGAGGAGCTGGTGACGGAGCTTGCAGAGAGGGACTTCACCGATCCTGCGCTGGCGGATGCTCTGAGCAGGTTGAGAGAGGTGTGTGTGTGTGTTGTCTTTTAGTAAGTTACTCCTGACACGTCCTGAGCTGTTGTTTCATTAATCTGCATGTTTTTCTCGTAGGTTTTAGTGTACAATTCCCCTGGAGGAAAGAGGAACCGTGGCCTGTCTGTGATTGGCTCACTGAGGGAGCTTCTCCCACCCAATCAGCTCACACAGGACGTAGTGCAGCGGGCTCTGTTGATTGGCTGGTGCATTGAATTGGTAAGGACATGTTCTGGTATGTTAAAAAGGAGAAGTCTGGCAATATTCCTCATTTTTATTATTGTCAACAAATCCCATCAACAGACCAAAACAGGTTTGCCTGATGTAACCTATTCTTCTGTGCTATAGATCTGCATTGTTGTCCTAAAACAATTACACTTGTGACAGGCTCCTTCATTGCGGGCAAGAGCATAGACACTGTGGTTTATTATGCCCCGAACCAATAAATTATCCTCATGTCTAATCTGATCTCTGCCATATTCATTTATTTTAAGTTTTTTTTGGTGTTTCCCAGTGTGTCGCTAAAATTTCAGTTCACAAGCACAGATTCAGACTGCTGTAATGACACTTTACAAGAGTGTTACGTTCCCTAAATCATTACTTGTTACAACTGTGTCTCTGTTGCTCGCAGCTTCAGGCATTCTTCCTTGTGGCAGATGATATCATGGATGCATCTGTGACTCGGAGAGGACAGCCCTGCTGGTACAAGAAGGTGAGGCTTGATACATAGAAAAAGAAACATTTTTTGTTGTAGTGTGGTTTATTTTTTTGTATTACTAGTGTGATCTGTTTCTAAGGTGAATCCTGTGTGTTTGTTTTAAAGGATGGAATTGGTCTGGATGCCATCAATGACTCATTTCTTTTAGAAGGGTCAATCTACAGACTACTTCGCAGACATTGCAGGGATCAGCCTTACTACGTCCACCTACTTGAGCTATTTACTGAGGTACTATATGTCCTGATTGATAACACATAACACACACAAACACAGAATTCTTACTGTGTCTCCGTTTGTTTCAGATATCTTTTCAGACAGAACTCGGCCAAGCTCTGGACCTCATGACTGCTCCCCCTGGTCAGATTGACCTCAACAGATTCACCATGGAGAGGTAGTGAAATTAAATCTGTAAAGCAAAGTAGCAGAAAAGGATGTTGGTTAGCAAAGCAAATAGGTGTAATTCTTTCTCTCTTCGTCCTTCAGGTATAAAGCTATTGTGAAATACAAGACCGCCTTTTACTCTTTTTACCTCCCAGTTGCAGCTGCAATGTACATGGTGAGTGTGTTTACATTGTACACACTTAACAAAAGTGTAACAGAGTAAAAGTAATAGAGTAACGTCATACTCTTTCTCCTTACCTTACTCTTAGGCAGGAATTAAGAGTGAAGAAGAACACAATAATGCCAAACACATCTTACTTGAGATGGGAGAGTTCTTTCAAATACAGGTAATTACACATCATCCCGCTTTCACACCACATAATGAACTAGAACCATACCTCTGCCAAGGCCAATAGTCCAGTCTTCTGTGATACGCAAATCTGCAAGGATATACGTATTACAAAGGAATTATCTCACAATGTTAAATAAAGTGACACCAACTTTCATGAAAATCCGGCACGTGGTAGTTTTTCTGTAATCCTGCTGACAGACAAACAAGCAAACGGCACCGAAAACACAACCTCCTTGGCAGAGGTAATAACATGCTGTCAAGTATACAGAGTTAATAACCACCCAACGTGTTTCGTTTGCAGGATGACTACTTAGACTGTTACGGAGACCCTGCTGTGACAGGAAAGATTGGTACAGACATCCAGGATAACAAGTGCAGCTGGCTGGTGGTGAAGGCCCTGGAAATCATGACTCCCGAACAAAGAGCAGAGCTGGAGGTGGGACTTCAGATAACAACCCTGTCTGTTTGAACACTTTAAAGGTTACATAT